ATCAGGTGTGAATTGGTTCTGACTTGGTGGTACACAACAACAACATTCAACCAAATATTTCAGTGTGCATTTTTCTCTCAGCCACAACGTCTTGTTTCTTGTACATTTGACTATTGTTATTGTCATAATGAGGAACAGGCATCAGAGTAGACTTGAAGCCAGATTGTGTAGGTTTGAATCCTGGCTCTGTTACTTGGCAGCTGAATAAGCTTGGCAAAAAGAAAGCAAAAAAAAGTTTATTGTAAAATATGGATAGTACGTTTACTTGTGTCATAGATTTGTAAAGAATAAGCAAGCTAGTAAGTATCAAGCATTTAATCCAGAGACTGACATACGATAAGGGCTATAAATAAGTGTTTGTTTAGAAGGCTCTACATAAAATTTGAGTCTCTAAATTAGATTTTTTAAAGCCAATTTATAGCTTAATCAGAAGAAACTTGAGATCATCCCAAGAGAGTAAAAGAAATTTGCACACATTTCTCTTTATTTAGGGACAATTATACCATGCCATGATTTTTCTTGATAAAAATAATATTAAACATACTGTTTAAAGTGTTAGGATTTTTCACTATTTTCATGTTTTTATTGAACTCTAGTGGTTTAGCAAGCTGGTTGTGGTGTGGTGGTGGCTTACGTAAGAATGGAGCATGATTTCCCATAGGATACTACCATGGGAGCCAACATATTGCCTAGGAAGAATAATAGATGGATTCTGTCTTTGCTCATGGGTGGCAGTGCTTGAAGATGTTAGGGGTGTTCTTTCACTTTACCTAAACCTTTTGTGGTTAAACAAAAATATCAGTCACAAAAGAGAAATTAAAATGCATGCAGCACTCATATGTAAAAATATTTTTTTAAATTTGTGATAAAAACATAAATGGGGCTCCAAGGGGGTAAGCGATGGGAGCAGAAGAATGAGGCTGGATGGGATGAAATCAGAGTTGCACAATTTGGTGGGTGGAGAGGGTAGGTAAAGGGAATGAGAAGGGTCTGGTAGGGACCAGAAAAGACAGGGTATTGATGGCATAGGGCAATGGTGATAATTTTTTTTTTAAACAAAATTTTGAATTATTTTTTTATTATTATTTTTATTTGTGACCTTCCAATTTGGGAATAGGGGCTCAGACTGTCTATCTGCTTCATGCTGAATAGGGGCATTGAGATGAAGAGGGCCCACTGTAACACTTTACTGTTGGTCTTGATTTGAAGTTGCATTCTGCCTTGTTCAATTAGAATATATTTTCATGATTTTCTGCCCTCTGCCTGCAAGGTGTTTGCATGGGTGAGTCCAGTGGGTGTGGCCGACTGAACTTCCAGGTTTGATCCACCTTTGCTTCCTTAGCTGGAAGTTATATTTCCCTTTTGTCTCTGGAACCAGACTCAGGGTTCAGGTAAACTATAGGAAAGGGAACAAGCCTACAGAGAACAAACTTGTGAGTTTCAAAGGAAAGGGCTTTGGAGGTTTTACTTACACATGTACTGGAGGAGGAGATGGAGGAAAGTGGCCTATATAAGGTTCCTCATACATGCCATGCAGCTCTTGCCAGGGGCTAGGTTTATCTCTCCTGCCTGGTGGCTCCCACCAGGTGTCTGGCCGCACTCCCCAGGATCCAGGTGGCTCTCCCTGGGGTCCAGAGGCTTTCCCCAGGGATGGAATGGCTCTCCCCTTCCAAAGTTCTTCTAAGATCCAGATCTTGTGCCCCACCAGGGGCCGTAGCTGGGGACCACACTTCTGGCTCTAGTGCCACAGTCATTGCCCCCTTCCGTTATGCCAAGTGGTCTAATTATAACTCATAGTA